TCGAGTCAGGGCCCTGCTGCTCCCTCTGCACCTCCCACATCTCCAGACCCGACTGTGAGCTCAGGAGGGACACCCCACCCGTGTCCCGAGCCCCAAATGCCACACGGGCTCCCAGGTAAGTGCCCGATGTGCCTGCCCTGCTCTTCAATTCTAAGACACACTTTGCTCCCTGTGTTCACGATTCCACAGTCAGGACCACCTTGCGACGTGGACCGTCGTGCTGTCACTGTGGGAGGGTTTCTTCTCTTCCTGAAATCTGCAGTGAAGCCTGGGGTGGGCCTTGGGGCCGACAGTGAGTCACAACCAGGTGTGACGATGGGCAAGTCCCCAACCAGGCCACACCTCGCTTTGTCCTCTCTATACCTCAAGGTGCCCCTGCATGTCTCATGGGGCTCTGGCAAGGCCAGGGAAGTACCATCTGTGGAGCACTGGGCACAGTCTGGCTCAGAGTGAGTGTTAACGTTTTTATCTGTTCTCTCCATGTTCACAGTGAAGGGAAATCAAGGGCCACGAAGAGACAGAGACAAAGGTGGGCCACTTGGGAGTCACCAAAAATCTGCACTCTGGATCCTCGAAAGCCCCCATGTTATTGTTTTATTTTGTGAAGAACGCAAGCTGGAAACATCCAGAACCCACTGGCATCAGCCCTGGGCCCTTGCTGGTGCGCATCCCATCTGCCCAACGACAGCCACGAGCCTGGGGGGAAGCAATCTGCCCATTTATCTTTTCCAGATGACTCCGCAGGGGGTCGCTTCAAATACCATTACATTGTGGGTGTGAATTATTCCCCCTTCTTCATTATAAAAGCAGTGTGTGACCACTAGAGGACACTGGGAAAGTACCAGAGGATAAAAGGAGAGGAAACCCGTGACAACGCACCATCCCGTGTGGCCGCTGAGGCTGGTGCTGGGGGTGGGAGGCAGGCACAGCTGGGCACCATGCGAGACCTGGGCCACTCTGGCCTGCAGTCTCCTCTTCCCTGCAGTGGACATGTGACTCTGTTCTTGCCTCAAAGAGCTCTTGTGGGAATTCAGTAAACCCACGCCTTCCTTT